GAATCTTTAAGTTTGACCTTCATTGTCATCCCATTTCCGATGGCATTTCCGGAGGCTATACTGAATAGGGAGGGCGTCATTGTGAAGTTTCTCTGATAAGAATCTCAAACTCCGGCACTCATTTAACGGATAATAAGATCGACGGTCCAGGTCAATGAATGTGCTCAGATGAGAATCGATTCCATGACTCCCGAATTTGCAATTGAGCACATTAATCTCTGCACAACCGTTACTCGTGAATATTATCCTAAGAGCTTCAGTTGACACTTACTCATGCACAGGGTTATTGTTCTAAATAAATGGTAATTTCTGGTTAGTGATTCTGGTCCTAGTGTTTCAACTTGTTACTCCTAATGTCAACTTTTTGAAAACTTACTTTGTCAAGAAGGCTTACTGTGGCTACTTGTGTTTGTATTTAATGTAGTTAACCTATGACCTTCCACTTCAGTATCACTTTATTGTTTACTATGAAAAAATGTATGAAATAATGCGTGTCCTTCATGTGTGCAAAGTAGAATTTGAAGCACAGGAGGAAAATCTCACGAGGTTCTGAATACCGATAAGCAATCGGAATTCAGATGCCACAAAATGACTTACTTTTAGAATTCACATTTCATTCCTTATTTTTTTTACAGAAAGCTGCTTAGTCCTTCTTAAAACTGTGTCCATTATGCTACCTTCCAATTGAACAAAAAACGGATAAATTTTTAACTTTGAGGAAAATTTAAAATTGGCCTAATGTCTTGTTTTACAGTTAATAGCAAGGCACGCACTATTTCATTCCTAGCAAAATGTCAAGAAGAGAATAAAACATGTTGATTGGCATATATAAAATGCATTATAAAAGGTTAAATTTAGGCAGTAGATCGATGAAGACCACTTCTCCACTCTTATCAACGATTAATGCGCCAATGGAAGTTCAAAGTGAGTTCTTCGCAGTATTGGCAAAATTCTGAAAAAAATCTTAAATTAGCTTATCTATTTTGAACTTGAAATCTGTGAAGAGTGAAGTATGAACAAGAAACTCCCACAGAGCAGAAACCATGGAGGATTCAATCCTATTGGACTCAATTCCAACACAGAACACGTAAATGCGTTTAATTTTACGCCACACAGTGTTCAAGGGATCAATAGGTAGAATTATAAAGGCTCTAGAAAATGGATGGCAAAATAATGAAAATGGATTAAAATTAAATACCTTTCCAAGTGTGTCCTTTTGGCCAAAGCGTCAAGTGGGCACAATGCTGAATTTCATTTCAAGTGGCCACCAATTTTTTATCTCTTCAGAGCTCAAAGTTAAACGTTTTTTTGTTTCCCGCGTTATGGGCTAAAACACATCTTTCATCTTAATCGTGGACTGTGCAATAAATAATTGAACATGGCTTATAAAATGATTGTGTAGCTGAATTAGAAATTCAAGTCATAAGACTCTTGAAATATCCTAGTAAGATTGAACGCTTTATGTTTATCATATTTGGCCAACGGCGTCATGTTCTAGCATTTCAGAGTACAAATGTTTGCATAGATACCTTATTTCTGGAATGAGTTCAATTCCAGAGAGTGAAGGCATAATGGCCTATTGACTACTTACGATGGTTGTTCAAACAGTTTGGATGGATTTGTCCTCTAACGACTTCAATACTAACAATGTAATGGGAAGAAAGATGAGCACGGTATTTCGCTTATTCCTTATTCTATTTCAGGTATATGTGCTGAAGCTCTTGGCGTTCCGATTATTGATAGTTTGGACGAACACGATTTGGAGCGCTTTCATCCATTCGGACCATTGTATGTTCTCAGCAAAGAATTAATTGATAGAAATCCCTGGATTCATAATTACAACTATTATTCAATGAAAACTGTAAGTTCTAAATAGTTCTTTATTGCAAACTAGGCATATGATTAAATTGATAAATTCCATTGGTTAACTACGAGCAACTTATTTATGGTTCAAAGCAGAGCAATGGTTCACAATTATTAATTACGAGGAAGTCCTTTGAGTATGAGAATATTTAAATTGTTTGGTAAGGTGTAGTCTGAGAGGGGGCGGGTTTAAGAAGTAGACATTGACATAATTATTACCGATAGGCACTTCCTCTACTTTTTAGAACAGTCGACCTGTACTCATTTTGATATATATTTATAATGACAGTATGGCCATATATTCTTACTTTAGGCTATGTTCACTATGTTAGGAGCCTGTTGATCGAGGTATTACTTTTGGTGTTCGATCAGACCCTCCATAACGATGTTTATATCCATTGCAATGAACTTAACTTGAAGGTCATTATATGGCATAGACATTTATTGATATCGCAAACTTTAATCAATACCTTTTCCACCCTTTTCTAATAATGAATTTGGGAAATACCTTTCAAAGATTTGCAGAGACGAATTTTGCCTTGTATATTGGTATTCTGTTCGTGTGTAACGTGGCTAAGTGGTTGCACTGATTGGGCCCATTCTCTATTTATGGGCGTAGCAATGCTTTCCCTGCGTCATTGGGTTAACTGATGCGTGATCGCACATTTTTGTGCCAACTTCAGGCTCTCTTTACTTTTGGATATATTTGCATAATCAGAGAGATGTCATTTTAGTAAATTACTTCATTAATTGGAAGTAAAATAAAGGAGGATTACTGGATGAGTTTGCGCATGCTCTTCCGTGTTTACACTCACAGCTACAATAAATTCAAGAGAAGGAATTGAATCTCGCATCCTTCAGCTCATATTTAGTACTTTCAACCTAAAATTGCCTCCTTCAAAATTCAAAATGATTAGTCCTAAGCTCAGAGAGACGGGAGACTAAATAGGGTGCGGTAGCAATCAAAAGTCCGTTAAAGACAAAAGGTACATATTTCATGCAAACCGTTCAATAGCTGAAATTGCTTCTACAAACCAACATGATTCAATGACTCATTACCCAGATATTAAAATTGACGCTTAACCGATAGAACGAACTGTCACTTCCATGATCACTAGTGATACAAATAAAATATTTTGATGATTATGGGAATGGTCACCTTATTTTTAAGGCATCTTTTAGAAAGTCAAATAAAATCAATGAGAAGGAAATATGGAAGTGTGGTATTTAGTTCAAAATTTTACGCAATTGCCTTCAAATATAAGATTTCAAGGAAAAGACACCACGCACCATAGTTTGAGCTACTTCGTTCAAGCATCTCTCCATAAGATCGTTAGCTATACAATTTCCTATGCACTTATTAGATCAAAAGTAGACTTCTGGTCATACGTGATTAAATGTAGCACTGGAATGAGTTGAGGGATGCAAATTAACTTTCTTTTCCGTTGAACCTATCGACTGGTTGAATATAACTTCCGGTAGTAATGGGAAACAAAGAGATTTTCTCCATTCAAAGCTAATTTGATCATAAACTGAAGAAGAATTAGAAGAATGTTAAGTCCATCTGGATGCATTCGATTAGTGCATCGCATCACATCATCTAGGTGGTACTTGTGATTTGGGCTTACTTTTAATTCAGTTGCTGATATAAAACGTGTGGTACATTTATTCGTAATTGATTTGGTTCCGATTTGAACTTCAGCTGCCGACCCCTGATAAAACACAATGCGGAACGTTAATCACTCGTCCCAGCAAAGTCTAATCTGGAGGGAATGTTACAGGACTTAGTCATGACTAAACCACGACAATTTTCTCTTGCAAAATCCTCCAGCATAAATTTTGTCTCTAATTTAGCTAAGTTACCGCAATTGTATTGAGGAAATAGAACGTAGTTGGTGAAGATAGTTTATTATAAACTATAACCTACCGCAGACATGGCCAGTGAATGAATACTGATTGGTTGAGAAGGCTAATGCTCGCATAAAAGAACTTGATCTCTACGCGGACGATGTTATAGCAACACTTTCCAGAGTATTCTCGTGTAATCGGGGTTGCTTTTTTGGACTTGAAGGGGTTGTGGTTTCCATGGATCTATGATATTGAAAGTGAACCAAATGTATTTTTTTCCCATAGGGTTTAGATTGCTGCAGTGATCACACGGTGTCTTTCCACTACATCAGCCCAGATTGGATGTACGTGATGGAGTACCTCACCTATCATCTCTACCCTTATGGAATCGTTCGAGATCTTCAACAATATGATATCCTAATGAATATGCTAAAAAAACGCAACTGACAAATTGAAATAATCTTCTGAAATGTACTATTCGCTCAAATGTCTTTTTTAAACCTCCAGAATATATTAAAACATAAATCTGTGCTACTTTGAGAGGAATGGCTAATTGTTCTAACCCCCCCCCCCCGGCGATGTAATTCGTCAGTAAAGTGAAAGTCGAGGTGAAATTTTGTCTGCATAGATAGGTGAGATCGAAAAACTTACTATGTCATGTTGTTATTGTTACAATTCCAACATCATCGGGCATGCTTGTTTGGAGACAGAGCACTTGGGAGAAGCCCTTTATTAACAAATATGTCAGCCTGAGAAGACCATCTGCAAGTTACCATTCAAGCGAAAGCTCAGGGATAACACCTTTAATAGGATTTACAAAATTAATATGACATTTGTATCAATGCATTTTTACTAAGGAATTGCAGGGGTATGACTCAATTAAGGATTAGATAGAACATGATTCTATATATCCCGGTTACAGATTATTATTATTATTAATATTATTATGACTATGCGAAATTTTAAAACTCTAAATTGCCTATAAAATGTTTAACGAGTTAAAACGGTGGAAGAAATAATTCAAAACAGAAGGGATATAATTACTATTAATTGAAGCAGGTGTTGTATAAAATCATTGAGTAATTCATTACGAAGTAATACCATATATTAACAGAAAAAAATAGAGGAGCTTTGAATAGTCATTCAATATATCTTTTTCCAAAAGGGTCTATTTTGGTTAAAAAAACTGTTAAATAAATTTTAATCGCTATAGTTCTTTTTGAAAATTTGTACATGTGTAACTGGTCAAGAATGAAAGTGCGCATAAATGGTTCATGATCATCGCAGCAGATATGACCTTTCAATTCACTTACCATTTCATTGGTCATTCCGGTTAATTTGACCTCATTGTAAATAGCGCATTGATTGTCGGGCTAACTTACAATAGCACAAAAAGATATGTTATTACGATTAATTTTCCCTTCAATATTTTTATTACATTATTTACCTGCGTTATCGGTGCCTGAAAGCATAGATGTATGTTATCATTCATTTTTTTAAATTCTTTTAGGTTCTTGATAGAAAAGTTAACAGCTTGAAATCTTCAATTGATAGCTCAAATGTCATTCGGTTGGATTTCGACAAGTACAATGAATTTCTAGTCCAGACGCCAAGAAATTACTCTGTCATTTTGATGTTGACTGCAATGACCAAAAGTCGAGGTTGCCATCATTGCCAGTATGTTTCTTCTGTATTCGATGGAATTCTAGATCCGCTACTGAAGAGTTCTTTATACTTATCAATGCCTTTTATCAGTCAAAGGCCGACAAAGCCAGAATATTTTTTGCAGTTGCAGATTTTGATGACGATCCAAGAATATTTGCTTCGGTATGATGGTATTTACTTAGTTGTATATTTATAGTTGAATCAAAACATTGTTCCCGTCTTTATGCATTTTCCTCCCAATTCGAAACCCCATAAAGCAGATTCATATGATGTTTCAAGAAGTGGATTAAATGCAGAAGCTTTAGGCCAGTGGATAGCCTCTCGAACTGGCATTCATGTAAATCTTTCGTTCGTCATTTCGGTATGCTTTTTTATAGTTCAAAATTGAACGACCTCCAAATTACTCGGGCTGGTTCTTCGTTGCCGTCACGGCCTGCGTTATTGGAATTATTATTTATCTTCGCACGGACAGCTTGCAGAGTATTTTCAATCGGTCTACTGTGTCTTACACAAGCATGATTATCATTTTCTACATGATCTCTGGTCAGATGTGGAATGGTATTCGACATCCTCCTGCTTTTCAAAATTCAGCTGATGGGGGTCTGGTAAGGTGGTATTGGGTTCCTTCTATACTTAAACTGTAGGTTATTTTCTATCCGGCAAGCAACTCTCAATTCATCTGGGAGACTGTTATTGTTATGGCAGTGTGTATCCTTTTTCAAATAGTTTTACTGTTTCGTATTCATGTTTTGAGCTTGTCTAATGTCTGCCTCGGAATGGTATTTTATGGGTCTTTTATGCTTGTATTTAACTTTTGCTCTCGTGGAGAGTTCTTGTTCTTGTCTAATCTACTTTCGGGATTACGGATTACATGCGAACGTTTCATTGTGACCTGGGCTTCCTTTGTGGCGGTCAACATTTGTTGTACCATTCTGACACTTTTAATTAGGAGCAAGCCATTTTATTATCCTAACTTCTCCTTTCTGAAAATTGTCATCCGAATATGATGAATTATTTTGTTTGTGTGTTCCATCTCTATTCCAGTACTCAACTGTTAATCGTCTTTTCGCAAGTCCTTTAGTTGAAGCCAGTAGTCTTGTGGAACATACGTGTGCTCCAAAGCCATTTCATTTATTCACCTACAGAAATTCCTCCGATGGTTTTGAACTTAATTTGATCTTTGTTTTACATATTTCCAGTCTAAATATTGGATCTAGTCTGTTTAGCTGTCATGTTCTCAGGCTGAGTGGCTTTTTTGTTCGAGAGGGTTCCAAATTGAGCATTTGATCATTTTCTTAACTAACCTCTTAGATGCCCTCGTATCTTGGAGCCTAGTTCTACTAATTGAAGTCACCAACGCACCCGATTCTAACAGAAAACGAGGTATGTTTCGACCTTTTCCTCTTGACTTTTTAGTGATGGCAATAACTGGAATCGCCCTTTTTGCCATCTTTGTCAGTCTCTCCTTATCACTCTTCCGTAAGAAAAATCATGGCTATCCTTACAGGCAAGTTCATATTTGTTCTACTTAATATTCATATTTTATTTTAGTTTTCTTTTGAAGTAGCTTTGGACTGTGCCGATGCTAGTTTGAATTCTCGATAATATTATCTACCATTTCCATTATCAACACTTCCTGTGATCTGTTTCTAACCTAATATGCCTATATCTCTCAATTTGTCTTCTTTGCAGTCATTTTTTCATTATTTAGAGTGCTAACTAGTTAGAATTCCCTACTACTAACTGGGAAATACATCCCAGGGCTGTTAAGCGACCAGTCCCAATGTGGCTCAGGAGATAAATCCGGTATCCGGTGGCATTTCCATATACAAGCGAGTTGATTTCTTTTTACCAATGCTGACTCTTGTTCTCCCAATTCCTTTTCCACTCCTTCTCAACTCATATGTTCCTATTTGGAAAAGTTGTTTTATCTCGTTAGTTTTAAGAGAAACTACTTGTTCTGCGAAGAGTTATCTAGGCTAATTTGGAAGGGGCTACTTTAGCAGCTTCCTCGACAAAATCAATGCCTACTTATGTTCAGTGTCCACTTTGTTCTCATTTTTTTGTACGCAGGTATGCAATTAATGCATTTGCTCAGACATCGACAAATGAGACAGACGACATTTGAAATGCTGGAGCTATATGCTTGGATATATAGAATCTATGAGCTGCTTTGTTTGATAATGAAATACTTCGTTCTCAAACACAGGCTAAACCGATGTGTAATTGTGGCCAGGGCATGCATACTGCTTACAGAATTTAATTCAGATCATAGCAATGGAAAAATTCAGTTCTGCTTCATATCTCGTTTAGAAGGATTTGTGCTAATATCACTTTGCTCATCTCATATTAACTGCTCTTCCTTTCGACTTGCGTTTTATAACGAAACATCCACCTCTGAGAAGGAATGAGAGAGCCTAGCCTGAGTCTCTTGACCATTAGCTAGAATGTAATGTCACTTCGTTGATGGTGTTCATGCACCTGTGCGCGAAGTAATATTTGTGGCACTCGTGCAGCGCTCGGAGATCGTGGAGAATGAATAATCATAAACTTTTAATTATGTGCGTTTTTGTCGGTGTACCATGAATTGGAACAAAGTATCAGTAAAGTGGTCTTATAAATAATTGCGTTGCGCGTATTTGGCGCTCAAATGAAGTGAATGTGTCAAATAGAAACGCTAATGGTATTGCATTAGGTTTATAAATAAATAAAGATTATATAAGTCTCCCAACAAACTCCAAACATCGTGGACATGGCCCATTTGTCAAGTAATGAAGGCTGAGTAGAAGTAGCTCAGTTTACCAGGATTTGGTTAATTTACGACTTGTGATATCCCCACTCCATTGTTATCAGTTCCCTCTCACAAAAGTTATTATAAATGTGTAAATTTGTTAGAACTGTGTTAGTCACGAAAGCCCCCATGGAGGTCTGTCGATTTTTCATCCATTTTTGGTCTTAGTGAAATTTCGACTCCACCAACACTAACCATTAAGACTCCATTTAAATTGTCAATAACCGCGACTAGACACTATAAAGGGAATCGCACGGTGAATCAATTGTTTAATTGAGATTTTTAAATGTACAAAATGATTGATTTTTAATATGCTGAAATCGTCATCTTTATATAGTTTCTCTTGTTACCTTGCCCAAAAATGAGCTCTGACTAAATCTCGGTCATCAAGACAGAAAACCTCAACGATCCACCCGTGATAAGCTCCCAAATTTATTATCTTCAACCAAAGAATTTTTATTAGACACAAAATGCTATTATTTGGCATAAGTCAAGACCTATGAAATAATGGTCAAATAAATAAATAGGACTGCATCATTTAATAAACATAATAATTGGAGTGTTCACGTTTATAATTAAGGGGAGGCTATAACAAAGTTTAATGGATGTGTTGAGTAGGCAGCCCTGACAAGATTAAACTGCGCGCATCCGAACATACTTTTGGGGTTGAGCACTTCTCATCTAGGCAGCCATTAGGGTTCATTCAAATTACGTATCATGTTTGCTGTGATCATGATTTTAATAAACGCCATACTTGGTTTACGATTTATACTGATATAGCATGAGGAGATGGTTCTGGGAAGATAAGTCAGGGCTTTTTCGTGCAGCAACCCTCTACGAAAGCTATCATAGTTTTGTTGGTTGCGAACGTATTTAAATCCTATCCAATGCATAATTGCAAGGCCATCTGAAAGACTGCCATTTTGCTAAGCCAAATTTCCTATTTTATTATGTAGAATAGTTGCTGCATTGATTCGAATTCGCGTCTTCATAACAAAGTAGAATGGTCAAATGAGCCTATAATAACTGAAAAATAATAGAATTTACGTTAAATTCGATCCAAAATCCTTTTCCCACACTATCAAAAGCTGATATAAAATGTTTAGCGGTGGAATAGCATTAACTTCAACAAATGGCTAAGTTGAGGTGTCAACGAGATACGGGGAGTGATGTCAAGACAATGAACAGCTTTGTACTCGAGTTGTAGAAAATCTACTAAATAGGCGGCTCCCAATGCAAAATTTAAGTTTCGATATTTATCATCTGGGGTGCGCGATAGGCTTACCTCCACGTGGTGCACCCTGGGCAACGTATACTCATACAGCAAAAAAGTCTATTAACTGGCGGTTGACTTTGACTTCAAACCACCATGACCCCACTGTGTGTCAAATTCGACCACTTCAACAGGACTCATCTTACCTTTTTTCTACATTTGTGTTCATCTACTTCTTTACATCTGTGAATCACTCTTCTTTCTCCCTCTCGAATTTTTCCCACTATGATGTTCCTCCCCTCTGTGAAGTCAGAAGTCAGCTAAAGGGCAAATGATAACTACCAAAACGCCTGCCATNGACACAAAGGGAGTGGAAAAGGTAATGTTAGGTGGGTATTCTGGAAGACGTGAAATATGACGCACAGTGGGGCCATGGTAGTTTGAAGTGAGAAGTCAACCGCCGTTTAATAGACTTTTTTGCCGTATGAGTATACGTTGCCCAGGGTGCACCACGTGGAGGTAAGTCTATCGCACACCCCATGAAAAATAAATTAAAATAAATATATGACATTGTAGGAGTGACAATCGCTTCTACTGTGATCACTGGACGCAACGGAACCAAACTGACCAGTAGAAGATAGACTATGAACATGGTGGCTGAGTTTAGTCCGCATTGAATTCGATACCAATGATCTTCAAACGAGGGCAACTCATGACCTATCTCCTGAATTAAAATTGAAAGTGCTCTCTCATAGTAATAATTGAATCCAGATGTGACGCATGCATTGAGATCAAAAATGAGGAGGTGGATGATAAGATTTCTAATTATGACAGGGTTAAAAGTATGCAAGCATGACGACGTACTCTAAAAAGAAATTTTAATTTCTACAGACTGATGAATAGGTGAGTTATTGATTTAAATATCTCGGATTTTCGTGAGATTATCCGTCTTGAGTTATGCTCTTACTTAACGCACCCACTGGCGGTTCTTTCTTGAAAAGTTTACTTTCAATTGTACCTACAAAGTTAGAGAGCACTAGACTTACATTTATCTTTGAAATTAGTAAAAAGTACACTTTTTCTTAACGCACCAGCGCAAGCGAGGCTCCTTGTATTACCTCAAGTTTGTTATTGAAGCCAGTCTGCCAGCCTTTTGAATTGACCCTTTCTGGTTTATTGATTATTGAGAGTGTTATTTGATTGCCTATTGACCTTATTATTTATTGCTTGAGAAATATCTAATTTGTGATCAAAGTTATATTGTTCAAAATTTTTTGCCACGCGTACATATCAGAGACTTGTCATCGGTCCATAAGGTCCTGCACCAAAGACTATAAATCGAAGTAGAAGGTTAAAGAGCACTGAGAAGAGGGGTCAGAATGCGAAATCCTGAGTTTTAAAAGAGTTAGTTCATAAAAATGTATTAACTTTCTTCCCTTAGAAAGTGTGTAAAGCACTCCTTTATCATCTCAGTCTACAAACACAACAAATAAACCTTCCCTCTGAATTAGGATATTTATCAAATGTATTTGATAGGCTGGAGTGTGCGATAGACTTACCTCCACGTGATGCACCCTGGGCAATATGCTCATATGGCAAAAAAGTCTATTAACTGGCGGTTGACTTTGACTTCAAACCACCATGACCCCACTGTGTGTCAAATTCGACCACTTCAACAGGACTCATCTTACCTTTTTTCTACATTTGTGTTCATCTACTTCTTTACATCTGTGAATCACTCTTCTTTCTCCCTCTCGAATTTTTCCCACTATGATGTTCCTCCCCTCTGTGAAGTCAGAAGTCAGCTAAAGGGCAAATGATAACTACCAAAACGCCTGCCATTTGAAATAATAAAATATTTATCACCTGGTATGCAGTGAAAGCCTATCAATGATGCTTATTGGCCGTTGTCTATCTTGCCATAGGTGAAAGCTCTAAGTGAAGAGAGCTTGCTTGACTTTAAAACAAACAAAACTAACAGAATGACCAGTTTAAATATTTATGATTTATTATTATTACACATTGTTAGGCAAATAACATTATTTCAGCTCTCTGATAATTTTTCGAGGGTAGAGATGATAGATCAGGAATTCCAGCAGATACATATTTTCTGGTTTAACATAATGGAAGGATACACTATGATCACTACAGCACTCGAATCCCTGAAAATGAGAAAAAAATATTTTTGAATCCATTTTATGAAAGCATTACTTTCTTGGGGAAGGAAATGTAGAATTTTCATAAGTTGACATTCAGAAACCGGGGTGTGCGATAGACTTACCTCCACGTGGTGCACCCTGGGCAACGTATACTCATACGGCAAAAAAGTCTATTGACTGGCAGTTGACTTCTCACTTCAAACTACCATCACCTCACTCTATGCCATATTCGACTATTTCCACAGTACTCATCTCACCTTTGTGTTTGTCTCTTACATCTTTGAAACACTCTTCTGTTCCCCCCCCCCCTCTCGAATTTTTTCAATTTGATGTTCTTTCCTCTCTGTGAAGCCTGAAGTCAACTAAATGGCTAATGATAACCATCAAGACGCCTGCCATTTGATATAAATAAACAAATACATTCCGAAACCATCTATATCAC